TGTTGCTCAGTGGATAGAGCCCCAGCCCTCGCACCAAAGGGTCCAGGGTTTGGTTCCTGGTCAAGGGCATGTACCTGGGTTGCAGGTTCAATCCCCAGCCCTGGTTGGGGCTCGTGGGGGAGGCAATCAATCCATGTGTCTCTCTTACACTGACGTTTCTCTCTCTCTCTCCTTCCCTCTCTCTCCCCTTCCCTCCCTTCCACTCTCTGTAAAAATCAATGGGGAAAATATTCTTGGTGAGGATTAACAAACAAACCAACAAACCCAAAAAGTCAATTAAGACTCTCATTTTTCTCTAAGACACCCCAGAGCGGAAGAAGGGGAAACATGGCTTTCCCTTCCGTTTCCAGGACTTTCGTTCTCATTTCTTCAGCAGTGTGTCCCCATTCCGCTTCCATGTGTATAATGCATGCCAGCTCACATCCGGGAGAGCTGGAGACGGAGTCACAGACACACAGGGGACCACCTCTACCCAACACAACTGATTTTCGGGGGAAATAATTCACGATGAACATTGCCCCAAGTGGACATTCCAGCACGGACATGCGAAACACTCCTGTTTTAATTTCTGATCTTCAGAGGATAGTGGTTTCTGACACTTTTTTTTTTTTTAAGTTTTGTCATTTTTCTGCTTTTCTTCGGCCACTCCTGGTCAAGTGCAGGCGACAGGTCTGTAAGTGGCCGGTCCTTTCCGCATCTCGGGTGGACTGTTTGTCGCCGTCTGAACGTGTTATTAGGGGCTTCATCCGGATGGGGGTGCCCCCCCTCCCCGCGGCTCTGGGAACTTGGGCCACACTCCATGAGATAACGGCCTCAGGAGGAACTGAGGGTCCCTATGCGGGGGCGACCGAGTCTGCAGCATTGACAGGTGGACCCACACCTTCGGGCTTTCACCTCCTCCTCCGACCCCCCTGGCCATCCGACGCCCACAACCGCCCCACAGCCCTGACCTTCCCCAGTGACCCCCGCCTGAGCCCTGACCGCCAGGCAGCGTCTTCATCTCCGCCACCTGACACGGAGGAACTGAGGGTCCCTATGCGGGGGCGACCGAGTCTGCAGCATTGACAGGTGGACCCACACCTTCGGGCTTTCACCTCCTCCTCCGACCCCCCTGGCCATCCGACGCCCACAACCGCCCCACAGCCCTGACCTTCCCCAGTGACCCCCGCCTGAGCCCTGACCGCCAGGCAGCGTCTTCATCTCCGCCACCTGACACCCCGTTTTTGCCTTGACATTAAGCCGCACCGCCGGAC